TCCCTACAACATTTGAAAATAAAAAGCTTTCAAAAGAATTGCATTTAAAAAAAATCTGCAAATACCACATCTACTGGTCTGGCTCCTGTAAAGAGTAACTGCAGTGTGCTCCTCGTGCGGGTTGCAAGGCATTTGGGAAAGATGACCAAAAGAAGAGAAGACTGCATAGTTATTTATGGAACACTTGCATGTATTATTACAATTCAGTGTAATTGAATAGTTTGTATTTTCACGACAGTATTAGGCCACAGTGATATGAAAAAGTTAAATGGACAGCACTGCTCATTTTATTGAGTTACACCTGGTTAACTTTTAAAAAAAATACTTATTTTAAATTGCAGTCTGTTTTCAAAAAAAGAGGGTTTTCTTTGTACAAGCAGTATCTGTACAGGGTCTCAGTGGAGTGAGTGATCATCAGGAAGTTATAAAATTACTATAAAAATGTACCAGAAAGAAGTTGGCAATGTTACTGGAACATAGAATTACTACATTACATTATCTTATTTGTAGTTTACAAAGACAGACCCATTAGTAGGTAAACTCTCCCTTCCTAGGTGTTGCTCCTATCTACCCACCTCCAAAATTAACTTGCAAAGAAAGAGAAACATGAAAGAGTCTGCCTTTCACCTGAAACTCTGTCTATTCAAATTTGTGCCGCAGGGTTAATTTAATGGTTTATTTGCAAGCTTACTCCGGGTGAGAAAAGACACACTGAGATATATTAAAGCTGTAGAATGACTATTAGGTAATCTGGAATGACTCTTTTCATGTTAATAGCGGTTTTGGTATGCACTTGCACACCACAAATCAAAGGTTCTCCTCCCCCCTCCCCACCTTTACTATATTTACTTTCCATTCAGGGCTTCAAATACAGAGGTATAGCTCTCAAATTGACCAAAATGAAAAAGCTCAATGGGAATTTCTCTAGATACTCAAAAGTATCCTTTCGCCCCTCTCACTAAGAAAGCAGACTTGCATCTTTTCCCCTATGAAAAGGGGCTCAGATTCTACCAGCCATTTCACAACTGAAAAATAACCCTCTGATTTCCAAACCTCTGTCAGGGAGGTATTTACAGACACTGTATTAGAGGCACAAAACACTGCTCAGTATTTTAACAGAGTGCTTTAGAATAGAAACTAGTAACAAATGCACTTGCGCTACACAGATCATTATCTGTCCAATTATGAAGGTAATTACTTCCCTAGAACCAGAATTACCACATTTAAAGGAAGATTGTCCTACCTCCCACCAGTTTTAAAGATTAGATCTGCATTAGGTGCTCCCTTCGGATGCTGGTAACGAGGCCGCCGTTCACGATTAGTATTTGCTGGAGCCGGACGCTGTGCCAGAGACTGCAACATTTCTGTAATTTTATACAGAAGAAAGTTAAATACATTTTCTATGCATCTTTTTAAAGAGGAATTTACACAAGCACATTTCACTGCCATGTAGTAAAAAAGACACCTTATTTACACTTTGCTATACTTTAGGGTTAACACTCTTCAAGTTATTCCACAACAGCTAATTTTAAAAAAAGTTACTAAATTGCATGGACAGCTTTGACAAATCCAAGCTACCCCGTAATATGAACTTGCATTTCCAGATGTTCTTACAGAAGGACCTGCCAGCAATGGTTTTCATCACAGGTACTTAAGAAAAGGGCTGTGACCTTTTCTTTCTGAACATAGCAGCCACCACTTTCTTTAGCAATGATCAGGGACAAAGCTTCACAGCAGTATGAGAAGCCATAACATTAAACTACCCTGAAATAGCAACAACTGGACAATGTTGCTACCAATTAAAGACTCAGCAAGAAACCTGTCCTAAAATTAGGCATTGAGAAGCCAGGTATTTAAGTCTAAGCTAGCCATAATAGGATCCTTTCACAGAGAAGAGAGGCACCTGAAGAGGGTGACTCAGCTGACCTACATTACACCAGCTGTCCCATGGATGGAGTTTTTCACTTTAGGATCAGTGGGAAGAGATAGGTGGGTACAGAAAGAAGCCTACACTACCCAGTTTAGCCCTGGACATCCAACTTCTGGGCAGTTTAAGCTAGGCAAGTGTTGTATTTTGGCATTCAGTAAAACCTGTATTTCTAAAATTTCATTTCATTTTTGTAATTCTAAGAAATGGCTCTTTACCAGGCTAAGTTAATGGTAAGTACCCAATATAATTACAAATACATCATAGGAACCCCCACATAACCTCTGCCCATATATTAGTGCATCTAATAGAAAGTATTTCTGACAGTCCAACTGTGCAAGAAGCTACATTACTCAGCAAGCAGACAGATGGAATAAATGAAGGGGAAAAGTGGAATAAGCTGTTAAACAGATTATGTTTGAAAGCCTGCTCTGTCTGGTTCTCTGATCTCTGGTAATCTCATTGGAGACACATACCCATCATCTGCTGGAAACAAACTTCCACTACTCTCACAGTGACTTGCACAAGGCAAAATCAGAGACTCTAATGAGATTCTCTAGCCATTTACAAAATGCACACAAAGCTTTCAGTAAGTTATCTACCCAATCTTTGAGAAACTGGGAAACTATGAATGATTTAATACACAATATTGGTGTCAACAGTTAATAAACCATGTATTCATGCTCTGTATACTCCCCTATCAACACCTGGAAAAGGCAAAGAAACCCATTCAACACTGTGACAGTCCATTTTTGTAAACATCATGAAATAACATCCTTCAAAACAATCCCGTATGCCAGGAGGGATCTGTCTCAGCAATGATGAGACTCAGGAAGGAAATAAGGAGAGATTATACTACATTGCCAGCCAGGTGCTAGAAGCAAGCAATGAACAAGCAAGTATGTGCATGCCTCTCTCTTCTGTTTTCCACACTGTAGGTGAAAGAAAAATACTGCTGTTTGTGAAAAGTCAGTAACTGAGAAGTTGAGCAATGGAGAAGAAAAAATGGCAAGGGAGCACAACGTTTTAGCTAGGCTGAAGGTACATCACCCATCTTTGGTTTTAGTGAAGAAAAAATAATCTACACAGAAAAAAACTCGTCTAAACAGAGTCACCCAGTTATTATTTCTTTAAATTAAAGTGTTTGTAATACTAATAAACATTGCTGAAGTATTAAATAATTATTTGATACTACTTTGAAGTACATTGCTAAATTTTATCTACTAGCTACCCTGTGCAGATGAAAAAAACCCAAATGTACGTGCAAATGGTAGGACAACCCTGAGGCATTCTTCCAGAAATTGAGATGACTTCTTCCCTTGGTAACTTCAAAGCTTGAAACAGAAATTTAAAACCAACTCTTTCTTTCAGTGTGTATGTACCAACTTGTTACAGGCAAGCTGACTCCTCCAAATAACAATCAACTGCACAAAATCCAAATAAAAAATAGTTGCAAAGAGGAATGTAATTTGGCCTGTTTAATTTAACCTGATTAAAAGGTCCTTTTTAGTTTGGTTTTACTGTATATATTACCCAGGTTAATAAAAAAGAATCAACAGCTGTTTTAAAAATGGGTGTCAATTATGGAAAAACCTGTTTCTTCTATGTTGATTTTACTCCTGCATTAATGCTTCATACACAGCACCTAGAAAATCTATTAGAAAGTAAAAAAAAATTCTCTATTACAAGTTATCAATTGGTATCAGTTGTCTGATTCATTTCTCTTGGACAAAATCAATGTGATCATTTTTTGGTAAGAAGCACAATTGCTCACAATAAAATCCTAGATTAAACAGATTGATTTTAAAGATACTAACAAAGTCATGTGATGAGGCATAAAAACCCAAATGCACTGACCAGTAAAAATATCAGAAATACCATTAATGAGGAAAAACCCACCAAAAGTCTGAGAAAAGCACTTAAATGTCTAATTCTAGAGTCTACTGTTTCTCTTCCTTTTTCACAAGTGGGGTTTGTAAGAGGGGAGTGTCTCAGAAAAAGAAGTTTTTAAGCTGATTATGATGTTTAATATTAAGAATATATTGTGTTACCATTTCAGAGCTCTGTCGACAATCACTTTGGAAAGATATTCCTTTTTACAATTACAAGTTTAGTTCTTGTACTATCAAAGTTCTGAAAGGACTGTTAGATTCCATGCTGGTTTTAGAATTAGAGCTGCTTTAATTTAAGTTTTCCATTTCTTGATGAATAATGACCTTTCACTAAATACCTTAAATGAGATTTCCTGCTAATTAACTACTTATACCATGATTACCACCAGACTGCAACATCTTAAAAAAAAAAAAAGAGCAAGAGCTTTGGAGCTGTTAAATGGAAATACTAACATAAGAACTGAATACCATCAGTTTTATTGGTCTGGCTTTGTGTACTGAGCAAACCAAGGAAAGCTGAGTCTGGGAAAAAAAAAAACCCACCCCAACCCAAAACAAACCACCCAACGTCCAAACACACGAAGTGCACCAGTTTAGGGGCTGTGTGATCTGTTGTATTAACTGTTCAGTTCAATGTGTCCAGGTTCCAAAATGCCTGGTTTGCGTATCTTTAAAAAACAAATTAGATCTTATAATTTGTATGAAACCTTCATTCTGTTAATATATTCTTATGCGCCAGATTTGTAGCACTCCTAGAACCTTCAGCAATATGAAGCTGAGGTGATAGTTTTTATTTCTCAGGAGTAGGTTACCTCTTAGTATTTGCAAGTCTTAGCAAGACTGATGAAGATTCTAAATACTATTAAACTCTTTAATAGGTATTTTAGATATTAAGTTGCACAGAATTAATTCCTCTTGTATCCAACTCAGTTGTCTTGCAGTAATGGACACAATGCCACAAACAGTAATTTTGTGTTGTCTTATTTTTTAAGGAAACAATCTCAGTTATTCCTCTTTCCCAAAACAAATGGAAATACTGAGATTGGAGGCCCACTTGAAAACTCCCTTTCACAGAAGACCTACAAAAACTTCCTCAAGTACATAGACCAGGGAGTAAATAATGAATGACTGAAACTAAAATACAGGTTTTCCATGAAGTGCAAATTAATATTTAGAACTTGAACTACTAATTATCACAAATAACATTTTCTGTAGATCCACGAAAGTTCCTGTGAAAATAAAAATTAAATACTTGGTGATTTTCCTACCCTGGTAGTCCTCTTGTTCTTGCCGTTCATTGATATCCAAAGTGAGCTTTTTCATCCTCATTCTCTCCTCCTGTTCAGCTTGCTGTTGGTTCCAATGGTTTGCAGCAAGTTGGGAAGACATTGGCACATTTAGGATCTTAAACTGCAAATGAAAGTAAGCTTTTAAGTGCTCATTACAGAAAAAAACAACCACAAAACAATCAAAAATACAGAAAGGTTACGGTTATTTCTAGGTTATTGTGATGAGATACTTTCCAGTAGACATATCTGTAGAAAGTGTGTTTGTTGGTTTTGTTTGTGGTTTTTTTTCCATTTTTAAACTGTATTTCACATAAGGAAGCAGGAGAAAATACAAGATACTCAGACCTCCTAAAGACACAGAGAACACACAAAAAAGGCTGATGTACTGCTAAGGCAAAACACTATTACACACAGTATTTACAGGAACAAAACTGATGAATTTTCACCAGGAACACATAGCTATATGCTTTATTTCTTATTTTCATACAAACTGATACCCTCACAGTGAATTACACTAGTCCTAAGATAAAAGCACCATAGCTGACTCAGAAAGCTGCATCTCCATCCAAAGTTTCTGCCTTCCAAAGAGATGAAGCCCCTGAGCAGAATATCTGCTATTATTCCTTGCGATAACAGAGGAGAAACATTCCAAGCATTTCAGATATCCCCTGCCATCCCTTGGGCAGTAGTTTTTCTTTTACAAATGATTCTAGCTCCACAGTGCTTTTTATTAGTCTGGAGAGAACTGCCGTATCAAATTTAATCTTTTTGTCATCCCCCAGACCCAAACATCCACACTACATATTCAACACATCTGATTTGCCATAAGCCACATTAAAGGTAAGCTTGGTACTACTCCTACAGAAATATCCTCTCTCTGAAAAATATAGCTGAGTTTTCAGAGAGGCATAGGGAAGATGCTTTCTTTTTCCCCAGACTCAGAAAATCCAAGTTTTTATTACCACAGAATTTTTTTTTTTTTTTTTTACAATTTTTCCAAAACAGAGAAGTGATTCTTAATCTTGTCTGCAACTGAAACAACAGTTTTCAGAAACCCCTTAATGCTAAAGTTTGTGAACGTATTTAGAAAAATTTCACTTCCTCCTTCAACTGCACATCCATTAGAAATAAATATTTCCGTGCCGTAAGTAGAGTAATGCACTTAAGGATAATCACTCTCAATATTCCACAAACTACTCTGAATCTTGCTGCTTGTTCTTGTCATCTGAGATCTACTTCCACAGAAATAGAAGCAGAGCAAATTTCTAAATGTTCTTTTCTGCTACACCATCAAAAGCTACAGCCAGAAAGATGCATTATCAAAACCTCTGTTCAGAAGCTATACAGTAAAAGCAAAATCCTCACTGCGTATGGTATTTAATGCAATAATTACTAAGAAATCTCAAGGTATCTATTAGATAGTAGTGCTCCACTAGCAGCAGATGAATGATGAGTGTGAGAAGATGCCAAGGACTTAGATGCAGTATTTGAAAATAAACTGTGTTTGAAACAGTTAAGACAGACTCTTGCAAAGACTTGAGAAAAACCTGGGTACAATGAAACCCTACCAACTAGAAGATTTATTTAGATGAGAGAAAATGAGGCAAACAGATTTTTGCGGGGGGTTGGGGGGTGGGGAATAGCATATAATAGCATATTATATTGAACATAAATACAAGCTTGTTATTAAGGTGTGTGTGTAAGAATAAAAATGAAAGTTCTTGACATTCCAACAGAAAAGTAAGATTTAGTTACTTATTGCTGACCAGACCATGCATGTTCCCAGATACTGTCAAACAAGCTTTATGCAAACTACCCAAATAACTAACCCATTACCTTCATTTCATGATAAAAATCATTCCTTAGCTTCACTATTAAGCTCCTCATCCACTTTAATATGTCCTTTATATTTTATCTATTCTACGGATTTATCACCTCAATGGGACTGGTAAGTGTTTTCAGACAGGATGCTTAAAGCAGAAAAAAGAAAACTTAAATACAGAAGAGTGCAAGTGAAAGAAACAGACACAAAAACCAGACTAGTAATTAACAAAATATCACTGAGTCACTATCTCAAGGCAATCAGACAGTTGCCATCTAAAATCCAATCACTGATGACAATTACTAAAGGATACGATGATTACTGCGCAAATGAAACATTTCCGATTTACAAACAGTGAAGAGGTATATCAAAAACCTCTTATAAAATCTGTGAGATGGGGACAGAACATAAGGACTTCACTTAGAGGATGGCAAACTGAAGAAAGATCAAAAATGATCATTCAGAAGACTAGATTACAGATTTCATAAAAATGTCACTACGATAAAGAACTTCACATTCAAGGACAGACTTTACCATTCCATGGATGTTACTTTCTTTCATGGAATCTTGCTAAAAATCCTTCAAATGAAAGGAAATCTTTTGTCTTGGTTATTAACCAAATTTCTTGACAGTAGGTGACTTTCTTTTTACTGTCTAAATCTCACCTTAGTTCACACCTACCTGGTATAAAACTTCTTGGACAGTTTCAAAAACATCAAATGGCATTAGATAGACCTCATCTCTGATACCTTATGGTGGCAGTATTTCTTTACTTCTCCTTGCTCTCTCATGGCTTGTGGATAAATAATGATGCCATAGTCTAGTTTCCAATAACCATGTTCAGTTCTACTGCTACTAGTTTTGTAAGTTTTGTCATACAAGTTCTTTGCTGCAGCTGATGGGTGAAAACACCCAGCCATCTATTGCAACACACCGGTCTACCCAATGTCCTTGCTATTGCATGGTTTTGTAAATCACAGTGTAACAAAAAAAAAGATAAAATACGGTGTCCTTGTTACTATCAGCCTGTTAATTCAGGTTGCATACTGCTGGTAAATAGCAGTCAGTTCTTGTGTGGCTTCAAAAAAGCTAGTTGTCAATGCTTCACTAAAATCTGGCTGAACAATGGCATGTGAACTGAGTATTTAGTGACTGGACCTCAACTACCAAACACTAACCTCCAGAAGTAAGCACAGCACCTTCCGTTTTCATCATAAGTACTTTCTTACAGTGAAGAAAGTTGACTGTGAAGAAAGTTGACAGCACTGTTGACAAAGAACATAGAGACCAAGCAACTGCTAACAAAGCAAGTGATCAGGTTGATGTCGTAGTGAGGTGGTGATGCTTATCATTCCAGTGATTGTGCAGATGAGAAGTTACTTACAGCCTTCCAGGTTGTCTGTAAACTCCTTTTGACTATTTTTAAAAAGCTGAAAGTTTACAGCTATAACTTAACAGTAAAGTATGCATCTGTCACTTCAAAACTCTCTGCACATTCTGCTCATGCAGATTTAAAATAAAGCACTGTAAGAAGGAATAATTATTTTCTTTTCAACTCCACCTCTTCTTTCTTGCTTCTTTTTCTATCAAAACTGACTACTAAGACATATTTTTTTTCTGAATACAGAACTATGGACAATGAAGCCTTTCACTGACTCAAGAACTGGAGTAGTCTATAAAGCAACTGTTTTCTACATTTCTAGAAACACTGAGAGGAGTTTTTGCAGGAAGAGCCTACTCCCAAAACCAAATATTGGGGGAGGAGCAGGGAAAACTCCTGAACAAGTTCTGCTTTCTTTTTAAGCCACATGTTGGCAATATTTTCCCCTCACATAGAATATGAAGATCCTAAAATTCTTGGTAACTACAGATACTCCCACTAAATTATCCTGAAAAAGCTAAACACCATTTTATCTTTTAAAGAGAGTTCTCTTAAATCCCTTCTCAGCCCAATGACAACAGTTAAAATTCCCCACTCAAGACTTCTGTAGAACTTTGTATACAACATTCAAGTTCCAGGAAAACAGAATAACCAAACAAATGTAAGGGAATCAGTTAATCATCACTACTAAATGCAAGCATGTATGTGCCCACTCAAATAGGTATCACCACTTACATTTTCAAAGCACTTAGCCCAGCACACACTCACTAGTTCAAGTGTTTTATGAGAAGAGACCTTTCTCACTTTCTACATAGATTTTTGAAGTTCCTTTCATATGAAGGAAGAGAAAGACTCTAACTTCAGGGTTATATACCTCAACTGTTACACTACTCTCACAATTCAGGTAACAAAAGTCAAAACAAAATAATGACATGGATCTAAACACTTGAAAGGTACAGATGCATGGAATGAAACAACGCCTCAGTTTTGCTTACTGTATAAACTCAGAGTCATTAATTTTCATCATCAATTTATACAACTGAAATGAAAAGGTTTCTTTAAAAGACCTAAACCATGATGAGAAATGCATGTGGAATGTGTTAGGTATTGATTTGTATACGATGCATTTGCTGACCTAGGAAAACTCAAACATACACTGGAGAAAGAGAGCCAAGATAAATATATAGCTTGGCTGCATGAAGCAAGGGGTTTATTTGTTTTATCAACATGATTTCCATTTAAGATTCTCTGAGAGATTCACTCAGTGCATTTTGGAGTAGTCCTCTAAAAAAAGGTCTTCGGAGACAAAGACTTTTTTTTGCAAGTTGAACATATTCAGCCAAGTGGCAGTTACTTAGGAAATTGAATTCAGCAAACGCCATGTATCTTGATTTGAAGCTGAAGGCCTTTTCAGAAAATTCTGTAGAAACTTGAAGATTCTGGAATGTTCCTTTTTTTAGTTTCTACTCCTTTCAACATCCAGTGGCAGTCCACCAACCACATCCATTCATCTTCCACAACTATATTTAAAATATGTGTAAGACATACCACTGTCCTACCGGTGTAATTGCCAAACTTAATTAGTAATGGTATAATTTAACCACAGAATTTTTCTACATGATTTCTAGTAACAACCAAGAATTCCAAGAAACTACTTATGGTATTTTCTATTTACTAAAATTAAGTTGTCTGTATGCCATTCTGAGAAAAGGATAAAAGAAATAATTCTGTAACTTCAAAAGTCACAGAGTGTGACTTTAAATAAATAAAATCCTTTCACTTTTTTGAAACAATATCCATACCTTCTGTAAACTCTTACCTGCTGTTTGTTGCCTTTCCGTGTTAACATGACAAACGGCATTGTGTCTCCAGACTCCGACTCTCCTTCCCCACCTCCAAGTGGGGGACCCTTCTTGAGCTGACTTTTGAGATGCAGAGGAATAGCAACATCCAACTGATGTACTTTAACAGATTCACCACTCCGTTGCTATTAAAAAAAAAAAAAAGGGTAGTAAACTCCGTAAGTGATCAGATGCTAAAAATGTCACTCCGTCTGTGAACATTCATATTTTCATGACTGAGAAAAGGTTTAACATTCCAGGAAAATGAAGTAATACATAAATAAATGTATTAGGCTTTATTAGATTTTCCTTTGGTTTCCTTGCTTGTGAAGAAGACAGTTACAGGAACAGAATACTTCAAATTTTGAAAGAATTTTGGCTAACAGCCTTTTAAGGAAAGAAGTCTAGAGACTTGATTAGACACACTTGAGAATGGACATTCTACATTCAAGATTTTTTTGTAGCATCTTATTAATGTATTCCTCATACAGGGTTTGCTATACTCAAATATTTACCAGATGTGACTGAAAAAAAGTCTTAAAGTTTATGTAAATTTAAATGCAGCTACATTTTAAACGCATTAAAACCTACGCTTTGATAGCCTAGGATAAAGTCAGAAACAGTGCACAGTATCTGCTCTAGTTATTATTCATCCAGTAAAATATACATCAGCATGTCATACATTCACTAAGCAAACAATACAATTAACAGCTACTTTACTAAAAGCTAATTATCCAAACATGTCAACTGCAGAGAAGAGGCCACAACTAAGAAAAAAATCCATGTTCTTTAGCATGGTAAGCTAAGCATTAATCACTTATTTACTTTAAAAAAAAAAATCAAATACAGTTATCTGTACAGCAAATTACATTAATTTAAGAAAATAAATATTTATACCTGAAGATTTTCCAGCATCATTTTATCCAACGCTTGAATGAAGTCCTCATCTTCTGCACAAGGGACATGCTTAAGTCCTCCTCCTTTAATCATTACTTCCTATTGCAATGGGAAAAAAAAACCTTCTATTACATTAGTTTCAGAAATATTGCTTCCATATCATACATCATCTAAAGCTTTAAAAAAAATAAATTGTTAAAAAAAAGTTTTCAGCCTGGATTATTTTCTTGAGAAAGTATCTTCTGATGTTTATTGCATCAATTATTATGAAGGCTGGCCGCTCATAATACTCTGACATGCTAGTAATATGTACAGAAGCATATGTACACATTCTAGATATGGCAACAATACAAAGAAAAGTCTCTATCCCTACCATACTTAGTTTAGCTAATTTTTCCATTAAGTCCATAAAGTTAGATGGTCTTTTCAAGACAAATACTATCCTTCAGTAGTTGGAAAGCACAGTCAGCACTCCAACATACTGTTCTGTAATGTTTATTACTTTCCTCACTATGTAACTGCAATTCAGGCTCAACTGGATGGGTTCTTTTGCTACAGATGTTATAATCTGTCAATCCCAAATTCGTATGTTAGGAATTTTGCACTTCTTGGTTTGTCTCCTTTCAGTTTTGAGATCTAGCGGAGCGTAACTAGTTTACCCTGTTGTATCATATCAGTTTGCTACCACTGCTGGCACTGCAAAACCATCATTTATGCAATTTTTTCCAGCCTAGCTACCTGTGAAAGTGCACAGTCCTGTGAAAACACGTTGTAGTACAGTTGACAGCGTAAATATTTTCAGAAAGTAATAATGAAAGTTTGCAAATGTAAAAATAAGCTCTAAAATGGATTTGAAAGAATAGCAGAGAGTGTTCTTGCTGTGTTTTCCCAGAGATGTTACGAGCAGCATTAGCAAAAAGCATTCAGCAAAGAAAGCCAAAGACGCAAAAGTCAATTCACTTTTCTAAAGCTACAATACATACTGTATTCTCCTCATCGGTTTCATTTTCCTTATTGGAGTCTGTCAGATAATCCGTGTTTTCTTCCTCCTCTTCTTCACCTTCTTCTTCCTCATTGTCAGAGCCCTCCTGAAATATTCAATGAATAACTTCTGACTATTTTAAAACAAAAAAGATCACTTGCATCTGATTTCTTATGTACACTTTTCTGCACCTTTCCTACCCTCTCCTCATCCAAATCTGTTTAGTTCAGTTTGGTCTTAGTAAATTTGTTTGTTATGTTTTGTATTTTAATTTTCAGTCTGAACTCATTTGGCTTTATCTGACATTTTCATAAACGTACAGCAGTACAGGAGTAGCGGCTGATAGAGCAAATGGTTGTGCTGCCACTCCAAGGGAACTCAACAAGCTGGAGGAATGGATTGACAAGAACTCATGAAATTCAATGAAGGGAAATGCAAAGTCCTGCACCCGAGGAGCAATAACCCCATTCACAAGTACAGGTTGGAGGCCACCCATCTGGAAAGCAGCTCTGCAGAGAAGGACCTGGGGTCCTGTTGGACACCAAACTGACCAAGAACCAGCAATGCATGCTTGCAGCAAATGCAGCTGACTGCATCCTGGGCTGCATTAGGAAGAAGTGCTGTCGACAGGTCAAAGGAGGTGATCCTGCCTGTCTGCTCAGCACTGGCAAGACACATCTGGAGTGCTGTGCCCAGCTCTGGGTTCCCCCGTACAAGACAGATACCAACATACTGAGGCGAGTCCAGCAATATAGCCTGAAGATGATTAAGGGACTGGAGCACCTGTCATAGGAGGAGAGGCTGAGAGAGATGGCACTGTTTAGTCTGGGGAACAGAAGGGTCAAGGTAAGGGGAGATCTTCTCAATGTGTATAATACCTGAAGGGAGGGAGCAAAGAAGAGGAGTTGGACTTTTCCCAGTGGTGTTCAGTGACAGACCCAGAAACGACGGACACAAGTTGAAAAATTTAATTTAAATGTAAGAAAAAAAGCCTTCTTTACTACCATGGTGTTTAAACACTGGAACAGATTGCCCAGAAAGGTTGTGGAGCCTCCATCCTTGGAGATATTCAAAACTAGATTGGACATTGCCTCGGGCAACCTGCTGTAGATGACCCTGCTTTGAGCGAGGGAGGCTGGAAAGAAGATCTCCAGCGGTCCCCTCCCTACTCCACAACCGTTTATGATTCGAATGATATTATTAATTTGCAGGCAAAGGCACAAACCCAGTCAAACTTCAGGAACTTTAATGCTAAGAAGCACAGACTGAAAGAAAGCTCACCAGTAAGCCAACCAACACAAGCATGAACCTGTTTCCTATTTCCTTGATGAACTCATTTTCTCATAACACTACAATTATCATGTCAACTTTGCTGTGTCATAGTGACAAGTCAGAATTTCTATGTACGTGTCTTTTTTATTGGCTCCACTGTTTTTTGGTTCAAAATATTATCTGCACAGTAAACAAGGAAGGTTGTTATGCTCCATAAATCTTTTACTTATTCATATTATATAGGCATACTCTGAACACCTGTTATTTTTCCTACATCACTGCTTTGACATCTAGTCAATACATTTGCTTCTACAACAGATAACAAAAATTATCTGAAAGTATTTTCACGTCAAAAAACTGAAGGCATCTTTTTGTTGAGAAGCAGCACATACCCTGAGCAAAGTTATGAGGTTCAAGTTTCTGCCATAATTTCTCTGGAATAAGCCACAGACACTCTGTATTCAGTTTTCCATATATACAAAACTGAGATGGAAATATCCTCAGAGTACTGACTGGGTTGTACATACCCACATTTCACCTGCTAACTTTGTGACATAGAAGGGCCTCAGAAAATAATGAGTAATCAAAATATTGATTACTCATTCTTTTTATGCGAGGCAGGGTAAATGATTAACCTCACCTCTTCTTCTGGCTCATTTACTTCACTTTCATTTCCAGATTGTTCCTCTGTCTCGGCTCCACCTTCCTCCTCCTCTTCATCCTCTTCCAGATTCTCTCCTTCTGTAATGGAATCTTTGGAATCTTTGTCATTCACAATTCCTGAATTTGGAAAAAGAAAAAGAATTAGAACATTACAACACATGTAACCACCCAAGTTATATGCGTAAGATCACTTCAAAAGTCCATTGTTACTGAACACTAAAACTTCCAATGGGTCATAATATTTGTCTTCTGAATTAAACATTTTCTATATAGTTACCTTACTCATAAAGGGTAATAATTTCGCTGCCAGAAAAGGAGGAAAACATTATCGAGAATTTTTTAAATCTCCCACAGAACAACAATCAAGAAGCTGCACTGTCCAAACTGCTTCAAAATATCCTCAAACTGAATGTGCAACCTTACTGAAGCATGCACTGAAATATGAGCACTAAATTGCAGATGCTTTACAAAACCAGCAGAACCCAAAAGACATCAAGCCCCTGCAGTCTTTCAGTACACACTACTGTCAATTAATGGTTTTGAAACAACTATTTTCTCAGCTTGTAATAAACCTTTCCGGCTCTTTTCTAATGCTCCAAGGCTGCACTCAAACTTATGAGGATGCAGGTGCCTATATAAAGTCTTTAGGAAATCAGAGTCTCTTCCAAAGGTATTATCTAGTGTGCTCATTCTACTTGCAGACACAACTGACAGTTCTTTCACTGTCTTTTAGTTCATCTTGCAGTTTTCCTTACTGACCTGTTTGCCACCTCCATCCCTCAAGACATTTTAGATTAGTCTGTGTGTAAGGTATCAAGTGTAGCTCCCTAAACCTCTGCTTTCCTTCAGTAAGGTATCCACCAATGCAATACCCTTATCTATACCATTCCCACAGTAGTGAAAAATAAGTTTTAGCTTCTTTCAGTGCTTCAGTGTCCAATTTAGCCTTAGATACAGATTTCAATTACAATTGTTTTCAGAGAAAATATTTAAGAATTGAGCATGGTTCCGATTCAGGAAAAAAAATACGAAGATCATGTTAGAGAACAGCTATTGCAAAAATTAAGTCATCCAATGCAAAAAAGAACAAACTTCCAGCATACACTCTTGTTATTTTATTAATATACAAAGCCACTTAATGGTCCAGAGAATCGTGGTTTGAGCTAGCAGAAAGTAATAATGATGTCAGCCTTCCGCAACACAGCAGGCTTTACTAAGGAGTCAATACAGTTACTATACAGTTTGTCATGCACGTTTTGACATCATACTGACCACACCTAGGGTCGGCTGTTAGTGTAAAGTTTTTTGGACAGCAAATGAACACATCAGTTCTGTGCTCGTGGCACTCCTTGTCTGTTCTCTGCCATATGCAAAAACCAAATGCAATTGTATGCAATTCTTAAGCAGAAGTCTAGATTCTGAATACACAGGTGGTTTCGGGCATACCAGATTTTTTTTACCCCTCTCCCCTCCACCTCCAGATGCTTTTAAGAGATGCAATATGCGGAGACAGTCAGGTCTCCACAAAAATTTGACTAAGATCACAAAGATCAGCTTTAAGAGAAGGTGAATTTTTAGAGCCATGCTTAAATTAGACAAAACTGAGAAATAAAATGAATGGTACATATGGTTGTATGGTAGTTATTGAGGTTCTGTGTGAACGCATGCACACACACTTCCTCCTTCATATTCCAGAGATTTCAAAGCATTCTTCCCCACTCCCCCAATTTGTAAACACTGTGCTCTTCAAAATATGTGCTACTCCATAATTATGCAAGAATTTCTTTTGAATCACTCTCACCACCACAAAATCACCAGAGTGGCACAGGAACCAACAGTCGTCCCCAATGCAAGGTCCACAGGCCACAAGCCACCCCACTGTTCTGCCTAGAATGACACTTCAGACTGACAAAGAGCAAAGCACACCGTGGTCTTTAGCACAATACCTTCTCAGTGGTGTTGTCCATGAGCTGAGGAACTGTGGGGCAAATTGATCGAAAACTGCAACTTTGCTAGAGCTTTTGCTAAAGTATTAAAAACCTCATTTCCTTCAGATATGCTTGTACCTATTATCATAACCTTCTCGGATCAGAAAGGCAGATGACAACCTTCCTGAAACCACATTCAAACAGTCCTAATATGAGGACTAGGAACTATCCCACTGTTTATGATGTTTAACAGCAAGCAAATAGTATCAGTATCACAAAAAGTAAC